CAGCTGCTGCTGCTGTCTCTCCCAGCTCTCCCCCCCTCCCTCGCCTCCGGCCCATCACAATAGTTCACACACTAGTCAACTTGTCGCTTCCCCCCTCCTTGCTGCCTCCATCAGAAAGAGGCAGAAAGATGGGAGGGTGCTGTGGGGAGCCTGGGGCTGTTGCTACACTTCAAAGGCGGAAGCGCCCTTATCAACTAATCCAGCTGCTGCTGCTGTCTCTCCCAGCTCTCCCCCCCTCCCTCGCCTCCGGCCCATCACAATAGTTCACACACTAGTCAACTTGTCGCTTCCCCCCTCCTTGCTGCCTCCATCAGAAAGAGGCAGAAAGATGGGAGGGTGCTGTGGGGAGCCTGGGGCTGTTGCTACACTTCAAAGGCGGAAGCGCCCTTATCAACTAATCGAATGGTCAATGCAAATTGCATCGACTATTTGATTAGCCAAATAATTGAAATTTTACATCCCTATCTGGAAGACTTTAGTTCAAGTCTGAATGCCTTTCTGGAAGAGAGGCTTTAGCCAAACCCAGGGGAATGGGCTCAGTACAGGAATAACTGGGTGACATTTTATGGCTTGTATTACAGCCAGACTAGATAATCTAGGGACTTCTTCTGGCCTTCCCAGTCTATGAATCTATGGGTTTGAGCTCCATGAATTCTACTGCGTGAAGTTAAGATGTCAGCTGCTAAAAATTATGGACCTGCCTGTGCTGCGTGGATAGTACGAATCTGGTGATTGTGTCTCATAAAAAGAGGAATGTAGTGGCTAGCACGAGAGTTGGAGTGGCCTTGCATGAGGACTTCAAGCATCATTTGGCTCATAGTTGGCAGCTGCTTTGGGGTTGAAAAAGCATAACAATGTAGCTGATTTTTGTGGTAAGTGACTTCCATGTTAGTACGTCAGAAGCTGTAAAATTATTTTGGAGAAAAATTCAAGTAGGTGCCAGCAGACTGGCAAGATCTGAGTGTGGGATTCATCGTTACCCGGTGGTAACCTATGTGTACTCACACAAATATTTCATTGAGAAATTAGTGCAGCCAGTTTTTGAGCAAGGAGCTGTGTTTTGCTCATAAAGGAAATTCACGGAGGTGATGAATACCAGACTTTCAAAAAAAGTCAATTTTGTGAGCTTGATGCATTCTGTGGAATTCTTTTCCGCCTCTGCATGGTGCCACCTCTTTGTCATCTTTAGGAGCCCCCCAGGTGCCTCTTACTTCTCCGTCTTCT